TGGTCCACATAGAGGACTATGGTGTGCATATACCAAATCCACATATGGCCTGTTTGTCTCTTGTTTTGTTATCTTGGCTTGGAATTGGGTGCTATCTTATGTCTCCTAGTACAAATGTGAGTTTTTCTAAGTTTTGGAGATTCTGGAAAGGGAAACCAATAATTTGTATGGCTTTCATTTACTCGATGAAATATATGTTAACTGTTTCAAAAAAAAAAAAATCATTTTTATTTTTGTGGGTGCAATAAAGGGGGGCTGGAGAAACCTTTTCATGATAAAGAACAAAATAAATTAGGGAGCACTTTGAAAAAGAAATTTTTTTTGAAGGGAAAACTGCTTGTGTACTAGAATTGTATTGGGCATGTTTGCTTGTTGGGAAAACGAATTCTCTAAGAAAGTTTTCTCCACCTGGATTACCGCTTTCTCTTTCTCATATCCGTTTCATTGGAAGGCTGTAGAAATTGTAATGGCTGAGAAAGCTATTCCTAGCATTTCCTAGTGTACTATATAGTTGTGAGAAAGCCACTTCATATTTATTGAAGTATGAATGTGCTTTCCCAAGTGACATACCACGCTTTCCAAATTCGGACTCCCCTAAGGCCCCAAGAAAGCACTTTCCGAAGAAATAAACGTTGCCTAATAGTTTCCTCCGATCTTATTTTCTGACCATTTTGATTGGAACTTATGGATATATCTAGAAAGCCACCCAACTATTGCTGAAAAAGGAAAGGAGTTTTCTCCTATTTGAAGTGACTACTCAGAATTTAAGAAACATATTTCATTATAATTAAAAAGAAGCGAACATGGGCTCAGGGTTAGGAGGTCAGAGTGACGGGATGCTACAATATGACGTTTTGAGTTCTATTCCTACTATAGGTAGGAGACCCTATCCCCACCGAACTACTCCAAAAAAAGGAAGAAAAAACAAGGGAACATACGGCAGAACGTTGTTTCTCTTGCATTTTTTATGAGCATACATTTTTCTCCCATTTTGAATGATCTCTCAGATTTTTTTTTAAATTATTTCATTATTAACAAACAGATAGAACATACTTGATAACCTTTCTCTTTCTTGTCTCAAAGGACAGAGAGATATGAGAAGGATATGATCTCCTATAAGAGGGAAACACTCAATGCTTATATAGTAAATCTAATAGTGAAACCATATACACTATTATGAATCTTATAGTAAAACTATATACATAACAATTACCACAAAAAGGAGCTGGTGCACAAGTTACACAAGTACTTGAAATGTGTTCTTACTTTTAAGGGACTTAAAACATTGTAGGAAACTTCAAATATGAACTAGGAAAAAAAAGGGTAAAGAACTTCCCTTTGAGAAGAATATGGAAAGGAACAATTTGAATCTAACCTGAAGAAAAGGTAACATTCTTTACATTGTGTGTCAAGAATGTTATACACATACTAGCCAATAGCCATCTAGAATCCATCCCCATTAACAGATGGTGGAGATAATGCATGGTTCCGCTTACACACGATATTAGGATTTAAGATGGAACCATGATATATGTATTTCTACATGTAAGGCTAGTAACAGGCCTGGCTTGCACTAGCCCCAACCCAGTCCAGGTCCCTATAGTGCCAGCCCAACCTTGACGGACCGTTCCGAAGGGGCCCTCATACTGGACTGGACCACTCTGGCCCTATCTCCATGTGAGGTGGGAGGGTGGATATTGGGTTTGTGACTTTAGAGGAATGGTGTATAGTATGCTTTGCAAAGTACTCATCCATTTAATCCAATCAATAGAAACATTGGGAATTGAGAGGTACTGAATAATTTGTCTTTAAGGCTCTTTAGAAAGAATGGGACTTGAGGAACTCTTCTTGAACAGTAGTCTTAAAACTCTTGTTGAAAAATGGAAATAACAAAAGGCTACAACTCTATCAAAGCAACTTGTCTAAAATTACAATTCAAGCATTGGAAAACCACATTGATCATCTTGACTTGAATATTATAGTTGTGAAAACAAATTAGGATTTCGAGCTCTAATCTAACAAATTATCAAGACCAGCCATTTTTCCCTAAGAATAGGTGTTCACATATTAGCAAGATCTGTACCTTTTTTTTTAGCTTTAGATTTGATATTGGAAATTAAATTTAGACCCATCATGGAGATTTCTTTTGCCGAAAGTACTTTTCGTACAAAAATTTGAAGTAAGGCTTCATTTTGATTTCATAAAGCCTAGGTCTTATAAAAACCTCATCTCTTTATTGTATATCTATTTCCACCTAGGATCCAGAATATGGAGGTCCAAAAGTCGTGCAAATTTGATGATAATGGAAGAATTGAAATCAAGGTTAAAAAGGGTGACCCGGATCGTCCTTACCTATAACGATGTCGAATGGGTGGGTTGGCGTGTCGGATCGGATAATCAGTCGAATTGACAGTTTCACTTAAAAATAAATTAAAAAAATCACTATACATCTATAAAAAAAAAGTGTTCTTTTAGTTTCTAAAAGAAATTAAAAATGGTATATTATGTACTTTTATTATTTTATAAGAATACGTGAATATTGAGATGTTGATTTCCTATTGGATATCTTTATAATTATCAACTATAATATAATATTATGATATGGGTGTGGTTTCTATGACGTTGCAACTTTAAACAATCCAATTAAGGTCTATATCCAAATTTTATCATAATATGCAATTTTGGTGTAAAAAATTCTTAGGATTATCTCAAAATCTATTTTGACATTTAATTATAAAATTTTAGAATTTAAAAATAGTTAAAATCAAGTAGGTCTATAAACATATGAAAATCTTGAAATTGGACGGTCTAGATAATGTATTGCAAGATGCACTATTTCTGGGACTCAAATTCTTTTTTTTTTTTACATATTCATACATCTCGTTGTCAACATGATCAATTCAAGGGTCTTTCAACAATAAAACAATTTTTTCCAATGAATTTTTTAGTTGCATCTATAATTCTACATTTCAAGGTTGCAACCTTATATAAAATTTTCCTTATAATATTGTGTCAAACTAATTTAAAAATATTAAAAAACATTTCCATATTATAAGATCAAAAAAATAATTTCTTATAGTAAAATTAGTATCGCATCAAAATATCAAACATTTATTAATATACTTTACTCATCCAAAATTATCACAACATGGCTAGCTATATATATTTTTTAGAATATCTTTTTTTAACAAAAAAAAAATTTGTTTAGTTCTAGACCTGGACCCAAGTGAAGTCCGGGTCGGGTCGAGGTGTAAGTCGATCGAGACATCGATCTGACCCATTACCTCCCCTACCTCTAATGGCTTTGAATATAGAATAATGATATTTTTTAAACATTATTATTTACTATAGTCTAACCAAACTCAATAATTTATTGGGCATGAATTGATGCAGAGATACACATTGGAGGTCGTGCATGTCATGTCATGAAGAGAAATCATAACGGGGATAATAAAATTGGTGATGATGAAATGAGTAGAATATTTTCTAGTGGCTACTTTGAATAGCTGTCGCACAGATGTTACACATTTAATGAAATTTCAAGGGGGGATTAGTCCCACATCATAAGTTGAAGTGACTATGGTTATAAAATGTAGAGAAGCCATCAGTGGATTGGATGACGTATGAGCAGCATGGAGCTCACGTGTTAAGGATTATGTCAAGGGAAAAATTATGGGATCAAGCAAACAATGAGATTTACTTGGACCCTAAGGAAAAAATTATGGCATTGTGGACCTCAAGGAAAAAATTATGGTATTAACCCCTAAGGAAAAAATGATGGGATTACTTGATGATGAGCATGACGATCCTAAAAAGTTGAGATTAATGATGAGGTTTAAACATGGTGACCAAGTGTACAAGGCATTTATAAAAAAAATCTAGGGCAGCTCCACTGAATCCACGTTTCCAATTTGAAGGTTTCCTAACTTTGGAAATTTGAAGGTTTCTTAACTTTGGAAACCTTTTTCTATTGTGTTCTAGAGGTCCGCGTTCTTTCAATAGTATAAGATTGCAACTTTATATAAGTTTTTTCCTTTTGAGGATATGAATACAATGCTTGTAATCATACTCGAAGTTATACATCAACCAAAAAAAACCATATCCAACGCAATTTACTAAATCGTTGTTATATAATTCATGGCTTTACATAAATTTGTCTAGCAGGACTCGCCCAAGTCCGGGCAACTTGGTCTCACTCGACGAAGCCCAAAAACCTGCAAAAATATATAAAAAATCTGAAAAGTATGAAACAATTTAGAGGACAATGATAGATTAGTTAGTAATATAGTTTTAGATGATTTGATGGTATTTAAGATGATATGGGAACCTTAATATTTTTTTAATCTTTCTGAAATATTCAAGGTATAAATCAAGTTTTTCAATAATACAACATTTATAAGTGTTTTCATCTTATTTAATATTCTAATGCTCTCAATTACATTTTTAAATTGTTTCAATTTTTACATATTTTTTACAATTTTCTGCCTTTTTTACTTTTTATTTTGTGTGCATGGCTCGATCTAGACCGCTCAGACTCTGTCAAGTTTCTCACTTAAATAATCTTATTAGTGAGTATAAAATTGAGAACTTTCAAATGATAGTAAATTGATACTTTAACTGTGTGGGATCAAGACATCGACTTAAGACAGGCATAGGTTGTCAGGGTGGTAGGTACCAGAGTTCCATTCCTCCCCCTATGGATCCCTTTTCAATTGATAACCCCAAAAAAAACTATGATCCTTTCAATAGTTTTTGTTTACTTGATAGGAGCAATAATCAGCAGCTCCATTCCCACCATTTAACATATAGAAAAATAATAATAATAAAGCAATAATCAGTAGATACTAGAAGGAAAAATTCTTAAAGACAAATTCGTTCTCATTTTCACCCACTTAATGGTGGCTTCCCACCACGTTCACTGTCCATGTTGTGGGCACTGGTCCTTTCCCATGCGTACAAATAGATAGAGGCAAAGCACACCTGTAAAAAGTTCGACAAAAGAATACAATGTATATTACCGAACAGATACAATTCCTTTGATGTCATGTTTTCATGTTGTTCGATCAGTTTTGGTCTCTAACTTTCAATATACAACAAACGAACTCGTGATTTTATATGAATAATCAAAACCCAAGTTTTGCTGACATTGCCTACTTATACGACTTCCACTTCCACCACCAGACCATCTTAGACAATTCCTTTGATGTCATGTTTTCATGTTGTTCGATCAGTTTTGGTCTCTAACTTTCAATATACAACAAACGAACTCGTGATTTTATATGAATAATCAAAACCCAAGTTTTGCTGACATTGCCTACTTATACGACTTCCACTTCCACCACCAGACCATCTTAGACTATCCAAGAAGATGATGGCCCTGTGGGAGGGTCTGCAAGGTTCTCTCTCTTTCTCTCTCTCTCTGTGAGCATATTCATTCACAACTTATATCTTCCTGTTATCCATGTCTTGGTTCTTGGTCTCCATATTTCTTTTTGAAAGCTTTTCCTTGCATATCTCTCTTTCTCTCTCTCTCTCTCTCTCTCACACACACACGTAGACACACACACAGAGTGAACATGCATTTTATTCACTTCTTATACATATATTATCCATGTCTTGGTTCTTGGTCTTTATATTTCTTTATGAGAGCTTCTTGAATTTTTCACTGATGCATATAGTTGGTTTTTGGTTTTTCATTCCGGATTCCTTTTGCTCTTATTTTTATGTAATTTATCTTGGGTTCTTAAATCTTGTTATCTTCATGTAAATTTTGGGTGTTTATTGTTTTCTAGCCTTTTTACTGCCTCTCACTCTTTTTCACTGTTTTTATTCCTATTACTTGTTATACTGATTAATCACTTTCTCTTTTGCTAGTTAGTTGATCAATTCTTCTAACTTGTTCTGTTCTTTTATTTGTAGAGGAACTCTCATGGATATGTAACTTGGAGTTAGACTCAGGCTCAACATGTATTGAGAGAGGTGTAATAGATGGTCTCAATATCTTCTTTGTCGTTCTTTTCATTATTGCTTCTGCAGTTTCTGGATTTCGCAATTGCTTAATCCGTGACGATAGAGCAAGATCTTGGCTTTTCATAGCTGTTGCAGTACTATGTGCTATAACAAGTGCTCTTCATTTTGGTGCTGGTGTTTGGCCTCTAATACGGAAGAAAAATGCACCAATGAATTTAAATTGGATTATCCATCTAGTTCACGGATTGATTTGGATGGTCTTAGCAATCTCCCTCTACATTCAGAGGCTCAAATGGGTAAGAATTTTGAGTCTGGTTTGGTGGGTCTCTTTCTCTCTCCTCGTATCAGCCATAAATGTTATGATTCTCGTGAGCGGCCATACACTTCGTATACTGGACTTGGTCTCATGGCCTGCGAACTTATTGCTTCTCCTCTGTTCTCTGCAACTTTTCAGAATTTTGATCTCTCAAAAGACATTATATGGCAATCTATCCGAGTCCCTGTTGAACAAAAACATGGAAAGAGAAAGAACAAGAAACAGGATAGGCTTCTTTAGCCGCCTTACCTTCTCTTGGATCAATCCTTTGTTGCGTTTAGGCCACAGAAAACCCTTAACTCTTAGAGATATCCCACCTTTACCATCCGAGGACGAGGCGCACCTTGCTTATGAGGCCTTCTCTCAAGCTTGGGAAGCTCACAGAAAAGAAAACCCAAGTTCCAAAAGCTCTGTTCTCAAAACCTTAATTGCCTGTTATTTTAGAGAAATGATGGTGGTGGGAATCTATGCATTGGTTCGAACAATCTCAATTGCAGTTGCCCCCTTCTTACTCTATTCCTTTGTAGAGTTTACAGGCCAAGAATACCATAAAAACAAGTACCAGGGTTTATTTTTAGTAGGATGCTTAGTTGTTTCAAAAGTTGCAGAGTCTCTATCTCAAAGGCATTGGTTTTTCGATTCTAGAAGAGTGGGTATGAAGATGAGGTCAGCTTTAATGGCTGCTGTCTATCAAAAACAACTTAAGCTCTCTAGTTTGGCTAGAATGCAGCATTCTACTGGGGAAATTGTGAATTATATAGCGGTTGACGCCTATCGATTTGGGGAGTTTCCATGGTGGTTCCACACCACGTGGTGCTCCCTCCTCCAATTGATCCTTGCTATAGTGATTCTCTTTCTAACTGTAGGTTGGGGTGCTCTTCCTGGCCTAGTTCCAATTATAATTCTCTCTCTACTAAACATACCCATTGCTAAGATTCTCCAAAATTGTCAGACACAATTCATGGGAGCCCAAGATGAGAGGCTTCGGGCCACTTCTGAGATCTTAAACAACATCAAGATAATAAAGTTGCAGGCTTGGGAAGAGAAGTTCAGGGGTTTGATTCTCTCTTTAAGAGATCATGAATTCAAATGGTTGGCTTCTGCCCAAATTAAGAAGTCCTACGGAAGTGTACTCTATTGGATGTCTCCCATTTTTGTTTCTGCAGTGGTATTTGCAGGTTGTTTGGCAATGGGAACTGCCCCTCTTAATGCTACAACGATTTTCACAGTTTTAGTTACTCTTAGGGTCATGTCTGAACCAGTGAGAGTGTTACCTGAAGCTTTCTCTATCTTAATTCAGGTTAAGATATCTTTGGATCGATTAGATCGATTCTTGTTAGATGACGAACTCAGGCCTGAGAATGTGAAGAGGTGTCCTGTTCAGGAAACTGAGTATAACATAAGGATTTGTGGTGGAAATTTTAGTTGGGACCCTGATTCACATAATCATACATTGAGAGACGTTAACTTAGAGGTAATTAAGGGAAAGAAGGTTGCGGTTTGTGGACCTGTTGGTGCTGGAAAATCATCTCTTTTGTATGCAGTGCTTGGTGAGATACCCAAAGTCTCTGGAACAGTGAGTCTCTCTCTCTCTCTCTCTCTCACACACACACACACACACACACACACACACACATACACACTCTAAGCTACTCATAAGCCTATTCCATTAATGTATTAAAAAGGATATTTGAAAACCCCATAGAAGCAGCAAGATTATTAACCATAGTTGGCAAAGAACAATAGTGGTTAAAGAATTAAGCTCTAACTACACATGGAATCAAGGTTCTCATGCATAAGCCAATGAAGGCATAAATTTACCAAGTAATGACTGTCTTTCTGGCTAACTACTCTGTAGTTGTGCCTATAATTGCTGATCCCAAATTTGGGTTTTGTTGCAGGTTGAAGCTTATGGATCCATTGCTTATGTTGCCCAAACAGCTTGGGTACAAAGTGGGACAGTTCAAGATAATATTCTCTATGGAAAACCAATGAATAAAACCAGATATGATGAGGCCATAAGATCTTGTGCTTTGGATAAAGATCTTGAAAATTTTGATCATGGAGACCTTACTGAGATTGGAGAGAGAGGACTCAACTTGAGTGGTGGTCAGAAACAAAGGATTCAGCTTGCTAGAGCAGTCTATAATGATGCTAATATCTACCTCCTAGATGATCCTTTTAGTGCAGTTGATGCCCATACTGCTGCAATTCTTTTCAATGTAAGCAGATTTCCATCATTTTGAAACTCTTTTCCTTCTTTAGAGCTTGCTATATTCAGTTTTTTTTCATTTTAATGATTAGATGCTTTAAAACCTACACAGGACTGTGTCAAAAAAGCTCTAGCGAAGAAAACTGTGGTTCTCGTGACTCATCAAGTCGAGTTTCTTGCAGAAGTTGATGAAATTTTGGTAAAAGAAGCCTTACTGAAACACTAAATTCACTCATATATCACTACAAGAGTCATGACTGTCAATTATAACAAAATACTTTCTTTTCCTTAAGGTCTTAGAAGGTGGACAAATCACACAATCAGGGAGCTATGATGACATCTTAAGGGCCGGCATGGCTTTTGAAAAACTCGTGAATGCTCATCAAGAAGCAATGACAGCTTTAGACCTTTCAAGAGAAAGGAATTTGATTCAAGGACACAGAGAAACTGCAGACTCAACAAATGGGTTCTTGACTTCTAAATCGAACAGCGAAGGGGAGATCTCAGCCAAGGGGATCTCAAATATCCAGCTCACTGAAGATGAAGAGATGGAGATTGGCAATATGGGTTGGAAGCCATACATAGATTATATAAGTGTTTCTAAGGGATGGTTTCTTTTCTCTTCCATTATTGTAGGTCAATGTATATTTGTACTCTTCCAAGTAGCATCAACATACTGGCTCGCAATAGCTATTCTTATACCTCAGATTAGCAGTGGAGTTGTGGTTGGAGTATACGCCATAGTGTCAATCTCTTGCACCTTCTTCGTTTACTTGAGATCATGGATCACTGCCCATCTTGGGCTTAGAGCTTCAAAAGCCTTCTTTTATGGCTTCATGGATTCAGTGTTCAGAGCTCCAATGTCATTCTTTGATTCCACACCAGTTGGAAGAATTTTAACCCGGGTAAGGTGCATGAGCTTTGCTTTATTTCAGTGAATATTTTCAAAATATTTATCTATTCATGCTATCCTTCTGAATTTCAGGCATCCTCTGATATGAGTTTGCTGGACTTTGACATACCATACTCAATCAGTTTCGCATTGTGTCCCTTGATCGAGCTGATATCAACTCTTATCATAATGTGTACAGTAACATGGCAAGTTCTATTTGCAGCCATTCCCGTCATCTTGATTACATACTATATCCAGGTACATCTCTTTTTCTTGTTTCTTTCAGTAGATAAGGTGGAGTTCTCTCTCTCTCTCTCTCTCTTTCTGACACACACACACACTCTCTCTCTCTCTGACACACACACACTCACGCTGTTCATTGATAAATTTAAGGGCTCAACTGACACTCCACCCACCACCCCCTCCCCTCTCCCTGGGGAAACAACAGCCACCAAAAAATAAGAGACCTTCAAAACGAAGTGGGGAGCTTCGAAACAAAGCTCCTCTGTTCCTATTACTGATTGAAGAATGTGTTTCTAGCTTTTTGTTGATCATGGTTAGTAGGTATGATTGGCTTTGTTGGGGAACTAACACTAAACCACAACTGTTTTACCAAAAAGAGTGGAAGAAATGTTAGTTACTAAACATCTAAGCAGTATTGATTGATCACACTGTCTTGTTCAATCTGCAGTCTGAACTTTCAGAGGTTAATACACAAGAATAGTGGCTTCTTCTACATTGACATTAACTTAATTTGTTTGTGCAGGGTTACTACCAATCCTCTGCAAGGGAATTAGTTAGGATTAATGGAACAACAAAGGCTCCTGTTATGAACTGTGCAGCTGAAACATCTCTTGGTGTGGTAACAATAAGAGCTTTCTCAGCAATGGAGAGGTTCATCTATCATAATCTAAGACTTATAGACACAGATGCAAGGCTATTCTTTTATACAAATACAGCCTTAGAGTGGGTGCTATTGAGAGTTGAAGCACTCCAAAACATAGTCTTATTCACTGCCACCATTTTCCTAGTTTTGGTTCCTCCTGGTACCATTACTCCTGGTATGCTTTCCATTAAATATGAAAATCAAATGTAGCAGAGCCTCTGTAATTATTTTAATGCTGGTGTATGAGTCTTTTAAGTACGTGCTTCCAACTCCGTCGTATTCTTTGTCTCGCTAAGAGAGCAGTTTTTAGTAGTAGTTAGTTTCATTTTTGTACTATTCTTCTTCTTTTTTTAACTTATTTCACTTTAACAGGAACCATGAGTACTTGGTTCCTCTGGCTTTTCACAGGATTTTCATCTCTCTCTCTCTCTCTCTCTCTCTCTCCACACACACACACAGTTCCTATGACAAATGTAGTATTGTTTAGTACAGCTAGGCTCTTGATTTTATTCATCTTACTCTATACTATACTGTATACTACTTAAAATTCTTAGTGTAGATATAACCCTTCATTTACTTTATATCTCATCATCTTCCTTTAATTTTGAAACCCATGAGCAATTCTGTACTCTTGTTTTTCACAGGATTTGCAGGACTATCACTCTCTTATGCCCTGAGCCTGACCAGTTGCCAAGCTTTTCTAACTCGATGGCAATGCCAACTTGCCAATTACATCATCTCAGTAGAGCGCATAAAGCAATTCATGAATCTACCTTTAGAACCACCAGCAATCATTGATGAAAACAAGCCCCCAGATACTTGGCCTGTCAATGGCCAGATTGATTTACAGGATCTAAAGGTGACAAAAACTCTTATTTAAAAAATATATCTTTAAATCATGCCTACCCTGAAGTTCTTGTAATATATGTATTACTTTATATATTAGCAATGCTTCCACTAAATCTCATCTGACTTATTCATGAACCTAAAATTAGAGATAGTGTGTCTACTCATGTACAATATCTTCTATATTGCTATGTATGTGCCTATGTGTGCATGCATGTTTATGATTGTATATGTTCTGTGTAAATGTTCATGTGCATATCCACATTTACATATGTACGCACGTATGCATATGTATGCCTCCCTTTATATACATTTGTTAATTGGATCCAATGACCAATGGCATCATGAACATTGTAAGTCTGATGGAACCCCACTCCTCTGCTTGTTTGATTTATCTTTTCACAGATAAGGTATCGACCGAATTCTCCTCTTGTTCTCAAAGGGATTACATGCACATTTGAGGCAGGCAAGAGAGTGGGAGTTGTTGGAAGAACTGGCAGCGGCAAGACAACCTTGATAAGTGCCTTGTTTCGTCTTGTCGATCCTTTTAGTGGAAAAATCCTCATAGATGGACTGGACATTTGCTCCATTGGTCTCAGGGACCTAAGAACTAAGCTCAGCATTATACCCCAAGAGCCGACTCTTTTCAAGGGTACCATAAGGAGTAACTTGGATCCTCTAGGCCTATACAGTGACCATGAGATATGGGAGGTAATATTACCATCCTCCCCTGCTACTTCTTGTAATGAGGACTTCCACAGAAAGGGCATATTCAAATTCAAGCATCTATAGCAAGGAATTCCTTTTTTGACTTTGATCTTAGCGACATATGCATAAAGTTTTGTTAATTTCTAATATAAAAATTATAAGCCTTATTGATTGAAATGTTCCAGTAAATAACTTGTGCTATGTCATTGATCACAGGCCATAGAAAAATGCCAGTTGATGGCCACTATCCGCAGCCTCCCCAACCGGCTTGATTCATCTGGTAATATTGGTTTTGTTTGTTGAATTATTCATTATTTCTAGATTAGTACTAGAATATCAGAAGTGGGTATCGATGTTCATGATATGGTTTTAATATTTACAGTAAGCGATGAAGGAGGGAATTGGAGTGCTGGGCAAAGGCAGCTCTTTTGCCTCGGCAGGGTCCTTCTAAGAAAGAATAGGATATTGGTTCTTGATGAGGCAACTGCATCCATTGACTCAGCAACTGATGCTGTTCTCCAAAAGGTTATAAGAAAGGAATTCTCAAACTGTACAGTGATAACAGTCGCTCACAGGGTGCCCACTGTCACAGATAGCGATCGTGTCATGGTTCTTTCTTATGGTAGGCTCTCTCAAATCTTCTCATTCAACACACACAGATCTCTATAAACATATTTGTACATGCATGCATGAATGCATATGCATGTACGAATAAGGATCATCGTCCATGTATCAGCATGTTCATAGACTCATTTCCATAGATTTAAACTTTTTAACACCATCCACTAAAAACTGCACCTACCTCAAAATGATGCCAAGTTACTATAAGCAATGTCTTATAAAAAAAAAGTTACCAGAAGCAATGTTATCATATTTTCTTCGCATGGCCAAATTTGATTCAACATGGCCAAATCGGCCTAAGTCTTCGGCTTCAGCCTCTAAATTGAAGAGAAACCCATTGCTCACTGATATTTTAATTTACAGCTATTATTCTAAAAAATATTGGTTTTTTTTTTCAGATTTTCGTAAAAATGTGAACAATCAAAATTTCAGGAAAGATACTCTCTAAAATTTAAATTTTTTGAAAAATATATCTTATTTATTAACTATTTTTTAAACATACCTAATTGTACATATTTTATATTTTTAAAACCATGTGAGCAATCTCTCCCAATTTAAAGACAAAAGTGACATGGCAACATCAATTAAATGTCTATTCTTAGTATTAACTCCATTTTACCTCTTAAAAGTACATATTTTCCCCCAAATAAACTAGGGAAATTTTTCGAAAAGCTCCTGCAAGGTGCATTATGTAGCATCTTAATCTTTTGAGTTAACTCTAAGATCTCTATAATCAATCTTAAAATTCTATCAGAAGACACTGATCATGAGTCAAGATTTCCAAGAGGGACACTTTTCAATTTGGCCCTCTTTCCAAAGTTAAGTGGTTTTTAAGAAAACCTATTCATTTGCAGGTAAAATGTGAGTTTGATATTTTATGATTATGAAGATTAATATGCTACCATGGGTTGCTATATTGGAAAGAACCCTAGCTAGGGGAATTTTTTGGACCCCAAATTTTGCGCCTGTGACTTCAACCTAATGACCAATGTAGAAAAGAAAAAAACATTTTCAAAGCACATTTTGGTAATTTATCAAGAAAGCATGCATGCAGGATTGCACATAGATCGTTGGTGTTTAGATATTTAAAAAAGGGATTGTAGAAAATCTTTAAAATTGACTTAAAATAAATTTTCAAATTTTTGTCAAAACTTTGAAGCTTTCGAATGTAGAAAAAAAAGAACGTCAAAGCATATTCCAAAAATAGTAAAAACTTGAAAATCTTTGTGATAGCCTTAAAATATATTTTCATCTCTAATAATAAAATTTAAAGCTTCAAAAATAGGGAAAATCTTTGAAATTGACGGTCCAAAAATGCATTACAAGATGCACTACTTCCAAAACTTGAAATCCATTGTGTTCGCATGTTTATGCATCTTGAAGCCGAGATGATCAATTTGAGGATATTTGAACATCAAAACAACCAGTGAAAATTTTAAAATGTGCTCTAATTTGATTGTTTAGAGCTTCGCACTTATATAAATTTTTTCTTTATATTAATCTTCTTTATATAACGCATTTCATACCAAATATTTGCATTTTGCACCTGTTATAACGGTCTTGCACATCATACAATGGTAATGGCCCTTGCCCAATATGGTATGTTATAACGGCTTTTTGAACGTTGGTAACAGGGAAACTTGTGGAATACGACAAGCCATCAAGACTCATGGAAACCAACTCTTCCTTTGCTAAACTTGTGGCTGAATACTGGGCTAACTGCACCAAGAACGCCCTATAGAAGCAAAGGATTGTCAAGAGAGAGAATAGAGAGAGAGAAAATGAAGAGAGTGAATGAAGAGAAAGAGAGAGAAAATGATGAGAGAGAGTTAACTTAATATGGAAGGGAGGAAGTGGAGGCAATGTATTGCTATTATCCCATTCTATTTGTAATTTTGTTGGTTCATTTTTCAATCAAAATAATTCGATGCGGTCTTATTGTTGATTTATATGGAAAGCTCGAAAATATAAGTTCGAAACTTCAATTTTATTTATCACCGTGTATTACCAGTTGGCCACAAAAAGCAATGCCAGTTTTTACCAAATTGCTATTCTAAATTGATTCAGATTGGGATCGGTTATAGGCAATTCTAATTTGAAAATATCTGGAATGCTATTGATTATCTTAAATTTTACCTTTTTTGTTCAATTTTTTTGTAATATATAGATTGATCCAACTTTAGAATCACCTGAATCGAGCAAAGCAAATCCCAATTAAATACCTAGTGATGCAGTGCCGGATTCCGATTTTTGGAACACTGAGCAAAACATTAATTGTTGTCAAGTTGAAAGGTTGTTGGGAAGAGAAAAGTAGACGTTGTGGTAACTATTATTTCGGAAATCAAGGAACCGTGATTTTATAAATCCGAATTTGGTATTGGATCGGCTCTCACACTAGGATTGACAATTTTTTTGGGGACAAAGGAATAAAAATAAAAAAATAAATTATGAAAAGAAAAGTATATACTGAGACCAGTGTTTTAAAAAACGTCGAGTCAAACCGGACTCGCCCGGTTTGACTCGAAAACACACGTGCCCGTGCCGGTTCCAACCTTAAACCGGGAACCACCCGGTTCTAGAGTAGAACCGTCGGTTCCCATCCTGTTCAGCCCGGTTCTAGAGTGCAACCGTCGGCTCCTATCCGGTTCACACATGAAACGCACGTGCGAGCGTGCCCCACGCACACTCACACGCGCACACGGCTGTCCAAGCACACGTGCGAGCGTGCCCCACAAACACACATGCACACACAAGTGTCCGAGCGCACGTGCAAGCGTGCCCCACACACACTCACAGTGCATACGTGTGTCCGAGCGCACGTGCGAGCGTGCCCCATGCACACTCACACGTGCACACGTGTGTCCGAGCGCACGTGCCCAGTGCACACTCACACGCGCACACGTGTGTCCGAGTGCACGTGCGAGAACGTGCCCACGGCACTCACACGCGCACACGAGTGTCCGAGCGCACGTGCGAGAACGTGCCCACGCACACTCACACGCGCACACGAGTGTCCGAGCGCACGTGTGAGCGTGCCCCACGCACACTCACACGTGCACACGAGTGTCCGAGCGCATGTGCAAGCGTGCCCCACGTACACTCACACGTGCACACATGTGTCCGAGCGCACGTGCAAGCGTGCCCCACGCACACTCACACGCGCACACGTGTGTCTTAGCGCACGTGCGAGAACTTGTCCCACGCACAAACGTGCCCCACGTACACTCACACGTGCACACATGTGTCCAGTTGGTGTTTAGATATTTAAAAAAGGGATTGTATAAAATCTTTAAAATTGACTTAAAATAAATTTTCAAATTTTTGTCAAAACTTTGAAGCTTTCGAATGTAGAAAAAAAAGAATGTCAAAGCATATTCCAAAAATAGTAAAAACTTGAAAATCTTTGTGATAGCCTTAAAATATATTTTCATCTCTAATAATAAAATTTAAAGCTTCAAAATAGGGAAAATCTTTGAAATTGACGGTCCAAAAATGGATTACAAGATGCACTACTTCCAAAACTTGAAATCCATTGTGTTCGCATGTTTATGCATCTTGAAGCCGAAATGATCAATTTGAGGATATTTGAACATCAAAACAACTAGTGAAAATTTTAAAATGTTCCCTAATTTGATTGTTTAGAGCTTCGCACTTATATAAATTTTTTCTTTATATTAATCTTCTTTATATAACGCATTTCATACCAAATATTTGCATTTTGCACCTGTTATAACGGTCTTGCACATCATACAATGGTAATGGCCCCTTGCCCAATATGGTATGTTATAACGGCTTTTTGAACGTTGGTAACAGGGAAACTTGTGGAATACGACAAGCCATCAAGACTCATGGAAACCAATTCTTCCTTTGCTAAACTTGTGGCTGAATACTGGGCTAACTGCACCAAGAACGCCCTATAGAAGCAAAGGATTGTCAAGAGAGAGAATAGAGAGAGAGAAAATGAAGAGAGTGAATGAAGAGAAAGAGAGAGAAATGATGAGAGAGAGTTAACTTAATATGGAAGGGAGGAAGTGGAGGCAATGTATTGCTATTATCCCATTCTATTTGTAATTTTGTTGGTTCATTTTTCAATCAAAATAATTCGATGCGGTCTTATTGTTGATTTATATGGAAAGCTCGAAAATATAAGTTCGAAACTTCAATTTTATTTATCACCGTGTATTACCAGTTGGCCACAAAAAGCAATGCCAGTTTTTACCAAATTGCTATTCTAAATTGATTCAGATTGGGATCGGTTATAGGCAATTCTAATTTGAAAATATCTGGAATGCTATTGATTATCTTAAATTTTACCTTTTTTGTTCAATTTTTTTGTAATATATAGATTGATCCAACTTTAGAATCACCTGAATCGAGCAAAGCAAATCCCAATTAAATACCTAGTGATGCAATGCCCGATTCCGATTTTTGGAACACTGAGCAAAACATTAATTGTTGTCAAGTTGAAAGGTTGTTGGGAAGAGAAAAGTAGACCTTGTAGTAAGTATAATCTCGGAAATCAAGGAACCGTGATTTTATAAATCCGACATTGGTATTGGATCGGCTCTCACACTAGGATTGATAATTTTTTTGGGGAAAAAGGAATAAAAATAAAAAAATAAATTATAAAACGAAAAGTATATACTGAGACCAGTGTTTTAAAAAACGGCGAGTCGAACCGGACTCGCCCTGTTTGACTCGGAAACACACGTGCCCATGCCGGTTCCAACCTTAAACCGGGAACCGCCCGGTTCTAGAGTAGAACCGCCGGTTCCCATCCTGTTCGGCCACGCACACTCACACACGCACACGGGTGTACGGGCGCACGTGCGAGCAGGCCCTACACACACACACGCGCACACGAGTGTCCGAGCGCACGTGCAAGCGTGCCCTACACACACTCACAGTGCACACGTGTGTCCGAGCGCACGTGCGAGCGTGCCCCATGCACACTCACACGTGCACAAGTGTGTCCGAGCACATGTGCCCCAGGCACACTCACACGCGCACACGCGTGTCCAAGTGCACGTGCGCGAACGTGCCCCACACACACTCACACACACACACGTGTGTCCTAGCACAAGTGCGAGAACGTGCCCCACGCACACTCACACGCGCACACGTGTGTCCGAGCACACGTGCGAGCGTGCCCCATGCACACTCATACA